GCATAGGGTCAACACCACCAAAAACAATTTCACCTCTTTATGTGGTCGATGGATCCCTGTTAAGCCAGAATGAAAACATGTCGTCTCTGACAGCACCTTGGTTCAACATGTTGTACCTGTATGTACTCTTGTCATGCTTTACTTAGTGTATCTCTCAACAATAATGGAAGAAAAATCACAATGAAATTAAAGAAAGTGTGTAGTTGAATTAGTTCACAAAAACAACACTAGCATACCACACAGGAGTAGCATTCCCCACTGAAATCTCCTGGAATCCAAGCCCAAGGATTCCATCGAACTTTGCCAACACAATAGTAGGGAAACTTCCTTATCGGGTAGCCTCAATGAAAACCTCAAGATTGAAAGAAAAGAAATTTTGTAAACAAATTGAAATTGAAAGAGCTAATTTTTCAACGAAAGGAACTCAAAAGAAGATAAAACCCACTTGATCCTTAACAACAAGACCCCCAACTTCAACATTTTCTTGACTGAAGAAACCAGATATTGATCCAGATCCATAATTTATTTCACATGGTTTTCCTGAATCACATAATTTATTTGTAAGTTCCAGCAAGAAGCATCTTGAACGCATGATTGAGATGAAACAAACAAAATTACCAATCTTGGTGTATGTACTGGATCGGCTAGACTTATATTTCTAGTGGAAATAGTAAGCAATCTTCAAGTAGACATAAATAAAAGGTAAGATTAGTAATGCTACCATAGCGTGGCAACAACAGTTGTACAACTGAGAAGAAACTTACAGAGAAGTAGCACTTGGAAGAAGGAACCCAGAGATTGGAACTGCCAGTGTCAAATATGACGGTGAAGTTTTGTGGATGTGAGCCAATGCCTATTACTCCATAATATGGGGCATCCATGTAGTTTTTTAGAGGTATTACCTCTCCGTCTGAACTTCTAAAGTTACGAAGCATGCCCTTACAATTCGTGCAGTCTTAATACCATTAAGATCCAATCTTTGCTTCTTTAAAGTAACTCAGGATAGGCCAGCAGAGGGAGAGGGAAGAAATAAGGTTGTAAAGACCCACAAGCACAAAGTCACTTGAACAAGTTTGGGCACCATGTTTACACAAACACCTGAAACATTACAGAGAGAGAGAGAGAGAGACAGTCGGTTCAAGGGTCATCCTAGGCATTCATGGCTAAAGATGAGCAATGAGCCAAAAACAAGGTATGCATATATAGAGCTGCATGACGTGAAAACATTATACATATTATATTACCTTTGCTAAGAAAAGCTTTAAAGACAGTAGCTGCCTGTGGGTGTGGTTGCAGCTGAGATTCCAAGCTTCAAAACCATAAGCAAGTGCGTATCTTTATACTTTGAGGAGTGAGTAGACGAAGACTATGCATTGCATTGCATGCTCCTCTAACTACCACGAGAAATGATGAGCTCCAAACTAAGCGAATGAGTATTGACCCTTGTTTATCTAGGAGTAGCCCAGTGTCACGGTTGGGACTCGCTTTATCTGGATTCCAAAAGATAATCACGCTTCGGTTGGTGATCGACACGTGGTCGTTAATAATGCTATATAGGTGTATTCATAAGAGTAGTTGATGGTCGACCCGTTGTTATTTACGATGCACTATCTGTGTGGATCTTATATTCGCGTCCTTGAAAATTCACACTAGTAGTATATTTATTTATACCGAGAATCACAGAACTGGGGTCTACCGATAGTAACAATTTGTTTTAATTAAAATTATTTTTCGCACGTACTAGATTATCATATTAAAAGGTGAATTCCACTAGCAATGAAGATTGCATTGCCGAATACAAGTAGTAAAATGAAAACAAATATGTACAATCATTACGGAAAGATGAGAATGAGAACACATTGGGGGAAATTACAGAGAATCTTCCTGAGTATAACACCCTAGAAATTGCATTGAAACTTCCTTCCATGTTATCCTCACAATAATACGACAAACTAATCCATAAATACAGCTCTTAGGGATTGGAAGATACCACCTTCTTTATGTTATCCGTTTGTTGATGTACAAATTAGCTTGTAGTTGCCAATTTGTTTTGATTCTGACGCTGCTGCTTCTTGGATATATGGAAGATAAAAAATATCTACCGAGGCGGATTGAATTATAGGAGGTAAGCTTTTTAATTTCAAAAGAAATAAGATCTTAAAACATAATTAAAAACTATAAAAATTAAGAGATTAAAGGTTTAATTTCATTAATTTTAAAATTCAAACATCTTGAAATGTATTAAATCAGATATATTTGGAATTAAGGCTTAATTCTATTAATTTTAAATCTAACAATGCTCGAAAAACAATTATACCAATTTTTTTAGAGAAATATAAGCTTAATTATAATAATTTCAAAATTACTAATGACTTAAGATGCAATTAGACCGTCAAAGGCCATAAAGGCCTAAAATCCAATTTCATTCAATTGGAGCTTTTAAATTTATTAGTTAATTGAATGGCCATAAAGGCCTAAAATCCAATTACATTCAGACCCATTATCCATTACACTCGTTGGCCCAACAAAATCCAATTACACTACCAATAAAATCAGCCCAACTATCCCATGGTCCAACAAACTAAACCGGCCCACAACCCATTTACACTAACTCTCAATAAAATTAGGGTAAGCTACATGTTTAGTACCTAAACTATTACTTTTGTTTTGTTCTAATACCCGAATATGTTTTTTTTAAACAATACCTAACGTTTAATTTAAGTTTCATTTTAATACCTTACCATTAAAAACTTAACGTTGATTTTGACGTGTCACCATGAGATAATGTCATGTCGCCATTGAAAAAAAAGATATATCGTCAGCAATTCTGTTAATTTTTTTAACGATATGATATCAAATTAAAACCTAAATTAAATGTTAGGTATGATTTTGAAAAAAATAAAGTTCGAGTACCAAAACAAAATAAAAGTAACATTTTAGGTACTAAAGATGTGGTTTACCCAAAACACTATAACCTAATCCAACCCTCATTGACCACCGTCACCAGCGCCAGCCACGACAACCGCTATGTCTGCTAGTCCTTTCCTTTGGCATCACGATCAAACAACTTAACCAAATAAACTCGAACGAAAGATAGATACGAACAAATTTGATCGCATTGAAAAACAAACCACAAAAGAGGATAAAGTTATTGAAAGACCACTGACAAATAACAAATCAGAATCGAGCGCCGTGAAAATACTATCCACGAATGCAAATCGCATATCCAAATCCAATCAGAGTGTCCAAAGTAGAGAATATTAACGTGATAACAAATAAGCGTCATCTTGATCAGTCGTGATGATATTAAATCTAACATTGAAAAAATGATAAACGAAAACAATGACCAAACGACAAAAAACATCCCATAAAGACAAAGAAAAACGTGCTATAAAGGCAGAAGAAGACGTACCATAAAAGCATAAGAATACGTGCCATAAACGTAGAATTATTAAAAATAAAAAAAGAAAAAGACAAAGATACATTGTAATAAAGCAAAGGAAAAACAATGAATATCAACAGCTGACGATCAACACCAAGGATGCTGTCGTCGTTGATCACAAAGATGAAGAAAAGAGACTAACGACAACTGCGAAAAAAGAGTGAAAAATAGGACAAACCCTAGATAAGTTCTATATAATCTAATTTCTAATCTAATAGAAGTAATAATCAATAAATGAATCATTTAATAAAATTAATTTAATAGTTATAATTAAATTATTTAATGTAATAATCATAATTAAAATAGAAAGTAAACTTATTAATTTAATTATTATAATTAAATTATTAATCTAATGATCATAATTAATAACTTGTTCTAAATTCTGAAGAATTATTTTTTATTAACTTTATCAATCCCAAGTTATTAATTATTTATAAAATACAATTTATAAATATAAAAAGTAAACATATTATAGTTAATTATGTTACTTTAAATAGTGAATAAATATTCTGTCACATTATAACATCAAAAAATTATAATCTTACAACTTCATCAATTATAACTTACAAGTTAAGTAAATACAAAGTCATGTGAATATCATATCAGTTCAATAACAAGTTGGATCATTTACAGGTTGAGTCAATTATAGATCAAGTTTATAACATGTTAACATCAGTTATTTATCAGGTTACTCTTGAGTTTAGATTCATATAAGGTGGATGCAGATTAGGCCCGGTTATCATATTATCATGTTCAATTCGAATTGAAGTCGGGTATAGTTCAGGTTAAGATCTAAAATTCTCAAGTCCAACTCATGTTCAAATTAATACCAATTTAAATTCGAATCGATTTCAAATCATTGTCACCTCAAATCACAAATAATTTTAACCAAAATCAATTTCCGTCAATTTTACATATAAGATCAACTTTTTACCTTCCTAATGTTACCATTATACCGGAATTCTATTTGGTTTGACCCGTAAAGAGGAAAGGCCCGCCTCACGTGAAAAATAGAGTACATTTTGCAACTTGCAAAGCATTTGGTTGCTGCCAATAGGCTGAAAATATGGTTCATGCAATTGCAATGCGATGCAACATCATTTTCTGAATGTAGAACCAACAACTTTTTTATTGACGTAATATTAAAATTAGCACCCAATGCTTATAAAAAATGATTATATTTATTTTTATTATTTTTCAATGATTTTAACTATTCAACGTTTTATTTTATTTTATTTTTCTTTATTTTTAAATTATTTTGTTCATCAACATTTCATTTTAGGATTAAAAACTCTAATTTAGAGTGTTAACCGTTTGTTAATTAGTTGAGACAAAATACTCTAAAAAAGAATAAAAACCAAAATAACCATTTTAGTCGAGACAAAATACTCAAAAAAATAAAATAAAATAACCATTTTAGTAAACCTTGACATTATACAATTATATTATTTTCATTGATTGCTTCAACTGATGATAGTAGTAAATTACGCTAGTTAAGAAGATAACAAATGCCAAAGCAGCATATATGGAAGGGAATAGGCATTTCGAAATTTAAACATAAACTTGTGTAGACTGAGTGTTCTAGACCTCCTTCACTACATTCACAGCTTCGGTCTTCACTTGATCCTTGTCTTGTTTCTTCTCCTTAACTTCACCTTCAATCTCAAAAGCTGATACAGGGAAAGATCTGGAGAGGCCCGCAGGTGTCTTGAAAGTGATTTTCCCAGTTGGTGGATCATCAACATAGATATCACTGAGCGTGATCCAAACCAGAACCTCCTTGGTCTTCACCCCAGTGAGCTTCTTGATCTTGTTTTTCTCCACCACAGCGGTGACCTCATTTGCGTAGGAAACGAGCCTCCCGATCTTGTCGAACCTGTGGGTTATGCTCTTCTTCTGTTTGAGCCACACGAAACCTGTTTCCTTCACGTACCCACATTCTTCGATGTCTCTGAGGGGCAACAGTCCTCTGGGCATCCCTACTTCCTCCAGCAGAAACTTCGATTTCTCTTGGCATGTCTCGTCTCCATGGTACATTTCTGAAGCACTGGCTTTGATCTCTTCGGTCACGAGAGTCATCCTTCTTGATTTCCTGTATTTTTTTTTTTGGGGGGGGGGGGGGGAAGATGATATGCTGAGGCCTCAAGAGAGTGGGGTTGATATAGTTGTAAAACCTATTTATTCACCCTTGTGGGACGGAAAATATTTTGATAATGCCATTAGCATGCGCATGCACATTCTTTTTATATATATATATAGGGTGAAAACAAGAATTTTTGTCAGTAAAATCAGGACTTGAGGTAGAGATATCTGGGTGATTGGCCCTTCGATCTTGACTAACTTTTTTTATTAAGTATATAAGTAATATATTTTTAAGATAAATGTTTGGGTCAAATCTATAGGTGAAATAATATAAGTATATTGTCGACCAATTGAAACCTAAGTTTTGATGGGTCTAGTTTTAGTTTTAGTCCCTATAGTATACTGAAATTATGTATTTATCCCTTGAACTTTAATTTGATATAATTTGACCATTTATCTTTATTATGTTGTTTGGAGTTTCAAATTGATAATATTATATTCTATATAGATTTTTACACTATGATAGTTGGAACAACATTTTTTATATTAAAAATCTATTTCATCACTTTAACGATAACTATTAACAATGATATCAATTTAGGTTTAGTGATAACATCAAGAAAGTAGATGATCAAACTATGTAAAAAAATAGAGAGATCAAATCTCAAATTCAAGTATAATTGAGAAGGTAAAGCCAGAATTAGACCATTCAGGTAACACAGCTAACGGTGGGTGAAGAGACTAGGGCATTTATGATACAGTTGGAAATTCGATAAATTAAAAAGGGTAAGTGAGCGGTGGTGGGTGTTGGCTTGATGAATGCCAATACGAATACGCCCACTGTGTCATTTAGGTGGGAAGGGGAATAAATTTTGGTCTCCCCGATATCATATTTTAAAGGTCCAGGGACCATTCTTGCGATTTATTCTCTCTTCTTTTTCATACTTGAAATTTATACTCCAATACTGATTGCAGTTGGGAAAATAAGTGTTCCATGACAACATATTCAAGCACTTTCGTTGCATACTATTTAGTATGGAAAACAGTAACATGAAAATACCTACATTTTCTTTACCAGAGATAGGAAAGGAAATTACTAGCAATGGAACAAGGAGCCTACGTGCTTATCGTCATCCTAGAAAGAGTTTTTTTTTAATGAATCTAAGGTGAATATAATGTAATATATGTTCAAAGATTCTTAATTTTTTGATAATAAACGGTCATATAACTGTATATGCGGTTTTTGAACTTAAACATTAAGAGATAATAATAAATGCTTTAACTATCGAGATCACTTTATTCGTGCCATCCTAAAAATACTTGAAAGCGGATCAGTGGCTAATTTCTGAAACTTATTTACTATCTCTGAATTCAAGGAGGAGCAGCCTTTAATATTTTTCTGATCTGCCACTGTGACTTTATGGGTCAAGAATGGTAGGTCCACCAAGCCCCCTTGACTGTCCTTGCATTGCATTCATGTTTCGCTACTTTTACATCGCAACAAGAAGTTGAGTAAGAGATATTTTGTGTTGTTTACTATTTTGAAAATAATTGGCAAGGTAACATGCAAGTTAGATTTACCTGCTACTGCTCGTATTTGTAAAAACGGGAATACAAAATATACATTTTTTTCATCGAATAGTAGAGAATACATGCAGCTTTTATATACACAATTACTAATTTTTCCAACTATGTGCTAACCATACTGACCAACTTGCCAACTACTTTCTACATTCCCAATAAAGTGAAGACACGGCAAAAGACTACGCGCCGGAACAAAAACCGACCCCTTTCGCAGCGATGGACGAAAATGAGAACATACAAGCCCAAAAATTCCACTGCAATGAAAGCAGACCTACCAAAACTTGGGCTCAAGTTCTTGAACTAAACACTTCGTCTAAAATTGAAGCCACCAGGTGGAACACTGGCCTTCTGGTTAACTCCAAAATTAAAGCCTTGCTGATTTTCATTCCCACCATCTTGGAGATTCTGTTCGTCTTCTTCCTCTTCAGCCCAGTATCTCTCCAAGATCTTCACAGTCTTCTCGTATATCTCATAGTTGTCATGAGTTTGAAGGTCTTTAATTTTATCCAACCCTTCACATTCATCAATCATTTGTGCATATAGATTGATTCCATCGTTCATTCCCATTTCTTTATCAGCCTCACCAACCTTCAGAATGTTCTCAAGCCCCTCGAGGCACACACTCACAACCCGTGGATCTGGACAGATTAGTAGGTCACACAGAGGCTTAATGCAACCTTGGCCCACGAGGAATCTGCAAAATAAAACATCACATGAGGTTTGCCACATTCAAGGAAGACTAAGTTTCAGTCTCACATGCATATGATTTAAGCATATGGTTAAGAACCATATCATGAAAGATTACTCAAATGAGGACCACATTTTCATTACGCATTTCCATAAAAGCATGTACAATCTAGCTATTATTCACTTATTAAAATTGACATGATTTGTCATCATATTATGATGAAATAAGTTGAAAGAGAATAAATATAATGATTGCCTTCATTACCCCATTAACTAACTAATTTAGTAAAGTAAGCCAAAAGCTCTTGTTCCCATTGATATTGGAGCCAAAAGATATTGTTCCCATTGATATTGGAGCCAAAAGATCTTGTTCCCATCGATATCTGTGTACACGTGTGTACCTTGATGCTTATATTGCATTTGGACAATATCTGTTTATATTCTCAAGTGAGTCCATGTGTGAAGGTTTGCATGCATTTACGTGTCTTTTATAAAAACATGCATGAATATTGGATCCAAAAAGGATAAACTGATATGTAAGAAGAAAGGAAGCAGGACATACAGAATCTGCTCATGAGAACCTCCAGAGGTGGCATTTGAGATGGCCCATGCAGCCTCCGTCTTAATGTCAAACTCTGCATGTTGAAGAAGGTGTACAAGAGGGAGAATAATATTGGCCTCAATGACTGCCTGTGCCACATAAAGTCAATAAAAAATATAAATAAGAACACTAGAGCCGCTAATAAGAACACTTCCCAGAACTAGTATCAACTGAAGTCAGTCCAAATAAGCAATGCTTCAGCAGCTGTCAACTAAAATTTATCAACGCTTCAGATTTATAAGCAACACATGCTACCACTTCCTTATCCAGGCAAACAAGATGACTGAATATCATACCCTTCCAGCACACGTTGAGGAAATAAATCCTCATAAAACAAAAGACGGATAGGGAAACTATACCTGTATTTGAGCTCTATTCCCGGCTGTTATATTGGAGATAGTCCAGCAAACTTCTTTCTTGATGCTTTTTTTGTGATTTTGTACAAGAAATTGATAGAGCTGAGGAAGCACCTTGTTGTCAATCAAAAACTGAAAAATGTACGTAGTGTTATTGCGGCTTTTGAAGCAAAGAAAGAAACATGACAACAATTGTTTTTCTATGTAAAATAATATGTAGTTTGTTTACTATTTCCTTACACTTGCATTAAAGTTGATTGATAACAACCCAAATGACACAAAGAAAGCAAGCACAATAGACAACAGAAATGACGCTGACTGTTGTGAACATGCATAAATGTATTTTATACCTGAGTCTGATTATCATCTCCACTGACAATATTTCCCACAGTCCGAAGAGCAGGTACAAGAACTGTAGGCGATGGATGACTGGCATAAGTGAATGTTGGTCAGCACTAGTAGTCAAAATGTTAACAAGAATAAACCCACAAAGTATACAGGTAAAAACCCTGTTACAGAAGCGAAAACTATTGGCAGTAGCTGAAATGGAGAGGATGCATGGTATCCACGCTGAAAAGGTACTTAGAAAAGGATAGCAAACTAAGGTTGTTAGCATTCCAGTATTTCTAGAGCACTCATAAGCTTACGCTAGAAGTTCCACCAATCGTTGGCAGACCCCAGCTTCAATGACCGCCTGAATTTTGTCAATTGGGCCATCTGAAAGATAAGATAGTGCCCAGCAAGCATCTGTCAGAACTTCTTCATCATTCAAGTAAATAAGTTCCTGTAGAACTGGTAAGGCAGGTTTCACCTGAAAAGAATACAAGATTGTTATCATAAGCTCTATTAAGCTACCAAAATGAATGGCTAAAAACAATAAAGTAACTGTGAAAACTTCTTTTATTACAATATCCACAGAAGCCTCCACAATCTCTACCTGCTCAAATGGCGTCGGCGGCTTGCCACGGCAGAAATTAGATAATGTCCATGTAGCATTCCTCAGCATGGATAATTTGGAGCGCTCATTTAACTGAGCCAACAATGGCATTAGCGCACCATTACCGAGAACTAGATCTTTACAACTTGGAGAATCACCAGCAACATAACCTAAAGCCCATACAGCCTAAACAGAAAATATAGGAAGCCAGGGTACTAAATGCATCAGTCGCTGCTGCCTAAATAATATCGATAGAGCATCTGCACATAGATCAAATGTAAAATATACTGGTCCGACAAGTAAAGCAAATGCAGAGAATGTAAAACTAAAATCCTAACAATACATGTTACATGGAAAGTAAGAGAATATTGTCACTCTAAACAGGTGCAGAAGATACAGATGAGTTATTGGGACAAGAACTGACCTTTTCTCTAACATCATCACTAGCAGAGCTAAGCAGCTGCACAAACATTGGAACAGCACCATGTTCAATAACAACCCGCGTGTGCTCCGATGTTCCGGAGGCAACAATAGTCAAAGCCCAGGCAGCCTCAAACTAAAATCAAAGGCAAGTAGCATCAGTAATAATAATCTCTTATACAAATTATTCCAATTTCAACACGAGGCTCAAACATCATACTTGCAATTGGTGTACATCCTGCCTTCCAAGAAACTCCACGAATCGAGAGACAACTCCAGTTTGATTACTTCATCAATTGGAGGTCTGAGCTCTACAGATAAAGTAGATGAAAGTCAACAACATATGTGGACATATTCCTTAATAAAAGAACTGTTCTAAGAATATGAATTAGAAAATACAACTTGCCTATAGATAACAGCTTCCTAAACTGAGTTGTGGCTTCTAACTGCGAGGCAGGATT